GGGGGACTGGCAGGGTCAGGGGGTGGGCAATGGGACACGGGGCCTCTCCCCTCCAGGGGGTGCCGGCTCCCCTGGGACGAGGACCCTAATGCCTCTGTTCTGGTCCCCGCCAGGGAAGCACCGTAAGTCGGGCCGGGACGTGGCAGTGAAGGTGATCGACAAGCTGCGTTTCCCCACGAAGCAGGAAAGCCAGCTTCGCAACGAGGTGGCCATCCTGCAGGTGAGGGGGGACGGACGGACAGACAGCGATGGCGCCCGGCTCCTCGCTCCCCCACCCTGGAGAGAGCACCCCCCCCACCTCCCATGGGGCCTGCCTCGGGTGTCCTGGGGCTTGACTGGCTTAGGGGCAATTCTGAGAGCTGGCCCCGAGGTTGCTGCTCGCTGCAGTGAGTTGCACAGGTCTCAGCCCAGGTCCCAGCAGGGCAGGGAGACACGGGTTGAGCCGGCTGCTCTGGGGGAGGCTGTGCCGGGGGAGGCAGCACATGGGGCTGGGGTTTGCCTGGAGCTGGGTGGCTCATGGGGGTCACCAGCTCCAACGGGGGGTGGGGCTGGCGGATGGGTGGATTCCCTGCCCCCAGCCCCCGCTTTTATCCCTCCTCTCCCCGGCTCCCAGAGCCTCCGCCACGCAGGCATAGTGAACCTGGAGTGCATGTTCGAGACGCCCGAGAAGGTGTTTGTGGTGATGGAGAAGCTGCACGGGGACATGCTGGAGATGATCCTGTCCTCGGAGAAGGGCCGGCTGCCTGAGAGGCTCACCAAATTCCTCATCACCCAGGTGAGACCCGCCCCCCCCGTCCCCCCAAGCTGCCCCAGCACTGCGGTTTGTCCCTGGGGCCACTGGGTGGGGGAGTTCACCAGGATGGGCCAGGGGCATGCGGCTGTCTGTCCTGCTGGAGGGGACCGGCCCTGCCCTGTGCGTCTGTCTGTCTGGAGGGGACCGTCCCTGAGCTTTGTGTCCGTCTGTCTGGAGGGGACCGGTCCTGATCTGTGTGTCAGTCTGTCTGGAGGGGCTGAGCTCTGCTCAGGGCGTGTCCCTGCTGCCTCTGGGGTGGCCCAACGCAGCCTGGTCCCTCAGCTCCTCCCTGGGGTGGGCCACAGGGGGAACAGGCAGTGCCCCCTCCCTCCCCTCCAGCTGATGGGGTCAGGCCTCCGCCCCCCCCAGGCTGCTCTCTCACCCCTATGCCCCCTGCCAGCCCCTGGGGGGCGCCCCCTGCTGGGCGGATGGGGGGAAGGGCCCCGTATCTCTTGGGGCAGCCCTGGCCCCACGCGCGATGTCTGACCTGCCCCGTCCCGGCAGATCCTGGTGGCCCTGCGGCACCTGCACTTCAAGAACATCGTCCACTGTGACCTGAAACCGGAGAACGTGCTTCTGGCCTCCGCCGAGCCCTTCCCCCAGGTGAGACCCCCTCCACCCCCGTTGGACTGTCCCTCCCCCCTCCATGTGACCCCCTCCCCCACGTGAGATCCGACCTCCGTCCCCCAGGTTGGACTGCCCTACCCCACTCCCCAGGGACCCCTCTCCCCAGGTACGACTGTGCCACCACTCTGCACAGGGATCCCTTCCCCCAGATGAGACCCCCCCAGTCCCCTCCACAGGGACTCCCTTCCCCTAGGTGAGACTCCTCCTGCCACCGCCCTCTGCAGGTACCCCTTCCCACTCCCTCTTCCCCTCTGCTGTTTGTGACACCCCCATCTCCCACTGTGGAGACCCCACAACTCCTGGGGCACTGGGGAGAGAGCTCCCCACCCCGCTCCCTGGAGCACAGCGCTCACTGGGGTATCGGGGCCAGGGGGAGAGCACCCCCTGCTGAGACCCCTCCCCCGGCTCCCCCAGGTGAAGCTGTGTGACTTCGGTTTTGCCCGCATCATCGGCGAGAAGTCGTTCCGGCGCTCGGTGGTGGGCACCCCGGCCTACCTGGCCCCCGAGGTGCTGCTAAACCAGGGCTACAACCGATCGCTGGACATGTGGTCCGTGGGCGTCATCATGTATGTCAGCCTGAGCGGCACCTTCCCCTTCAACGAGGACGAGGACATCAACGACCAGATCCAGAACGCCGCCTTCATGTACCCGCCCCATCCCTGGCGCCAGATTTCGGCCGGAGGTACCTGCCCAGGGGGAAGGGGGGATCTCGGCAGGAGGGACATGCCCCTAGTGGGAGAGGGGGAGGGCAGATCTCCTCAGGAGGGACCTTCCCTGGGGGGTGGAGGGGGGATCTTGGCCAGAGGGACCTGCCCTGGGAGGTTGAGGGGGGGATCTCGCTGGAGGGACCTGCCCCAGTGTGTGTTCTGGTTGGGAGGGGGTTGTCTGTTACCTCCTAGTGGCAGGACCCAGCCACTCTAATGGCAGTGTGGGGGGAGCTCAGACTGTCTGCGAGGGGGCAACACCCCCAACTGACACCCCCATCCCTGCAGCACAGCACCCCCAGCAGGAAGGCCTGTGTTGCCGGGGCACCATACCCGCTATCCCCACACCCCGTGGCTTTCCCCAGGGCAGACTCGGGCCCTTCCCGCCCCCACAGGCGGCTCCATGACTCCCCCGCGCTCTCTCCTCCTCCAGCCATCGACCTGATCAATAACCTGCTCCAGGTGAAGATGAGGAAGCGCTACAGTGTGGACAAGTCCCTGAGTCACCCCTGGCTCCAGGTATGTAGGGGTGGCCCAGCCGTGGCCTGACAGCCTCCCCCCAGACCCGGCAGCGTCCCCCAGCCCTGCCCAGGTCCAGAGCCGTCACCTAAGGGAACGCTCAGGAGGACTGTCGCTATCGCTATGGAGAGGTGGGGAAACTGAGGCACGGCGAGGGGCTGGGACTTGCCCAAAACGTGCCCAAGAATCCTGTCTCCCAGCCCCCTGCTCTAACCACTAGACCCCACTGCCGTTGCCCCTGTGCCCAGTATGGTCCTGCAGCCGCTGCCCTCGGTTGCAGCAGCAGAAGGGATGATGGAGCCAGCCGGAGGTAGCGGTTCTCGTGCTCTCCAGCAGGGGGTAGCACTGACACACACTCCAGGCGACCTGTTGCAGGGTGATTTTGGTGCTGTCCCATAGGGGTCAGCCGACACACACCAGCTGGCCCAGTGCAGGGCAGTTCTGGTGTTGTCCACCGGGGGGCAGCACTGACAATCCCAGCTGGCCCAGTGCAGGGCAGTTCTGGTGTTGTCCACCGGGGGGCGGTACCGACACATGCCAGCCAGCCCAGTGCAAGGCGGTTCTGATGTTGGCCAACAGGGGGCAGCAGTGATGCACTTGGTCCCTGTTAACCCCTTGCTGCCCCTGCAGGATTACCAGACGTGGCTGGACCTACGGGAGCTAGAGACCAAGATGGCCGAGCGTTACATCACCCACGAGAGCGACGACGCCCGGTGGGAGCAGTTCGCCGCCGACCACACCCTGCCCTACCCCGCCCACCTGCGGGCCCCCCGGGGGCCGCCCCCCGAGGAGGAAGAGGAGGAGGGGGAGGGGGAGCTGCAGGGGCTGACAGAGAGGGTCAGCATTCTGTGAACCTGGCCCCCCACCCCGTGGCAGAGAGAAGACCCCTCCCCCAGCTCTGGTGGAGGGGGCGGGACAAGACGGACCCCTGGGGATGGGGTGAAGGACACCCCTGCCCCCGCTTTGTGCTGTGGGGACGTGGCTCTCCCTGCTGGCGCCAGAGCAGACAGGACGGCTCCCTTTTCCTGACTGGTGCACCCCCGCCTGCCTACCTGCACGCCCGTCCCTGCCCATGGGGGCCACTCTCAGGAGCCCCGAGCAGGCGCCCCTAGGGCTGAGGAGAGGCAGGTGGGGGCCCGGGGATGGGCTGGGGACCCAGGACATGGCGAGGGCCCTAGGCAGGGCGTGACGCCTGGCACAGCTGCTGAGGTCGCTTGGCGCCCGTCTGGACGGCCCTTGGATCCCATGGCGCCCCGGCCAGTGCATGAATGGAATAGAAGAGGACGGGGTGAGAGGCCCGGGGCCTCAGGGAGGGGGCCTGGCAGGTGAGCCCAGGCTCCCGGGGAAGTGGGTGAGGGCCTGGCGCTGTGATCGGGGGCTGAGGGCATGAGGGGGGGTGGAGTCCCAGGCACATGTCAGGGGCCTGGGGGTGGCTGAGGGGTCCCAGCGATGTAGTTAGGGGAGTGGAGGGAGGGTGCAGGATGTACTAGGCTTCTGTGGTTATGAAGGGGAGTCCCAAGGGCATGGGGTTGGTGTTAGGGGCCTAAGCTATGAGTGAAGGTTTTTGAGGGCATGGGGCCCCTCCCTGCACCCACTCTCCCTGGTCCTTGCTGGGGGCAAAAGGGGGTCTCCATTTTGGGGAGCACAGAGGGAGCTGAGCCCTCCCCCTCCTGTCTTCAGCGGGGTAGAGGGGAGAAGTGTCCCCCCGCACCCCAACCCCTGCTGGCTCCCAGCCGTCTTGGCCAGACCGAAGCCGCCCTAGGCCGAGCCCTGCTGGATCTTGACGCCCTGCTCCACATGTGGCCTGCGTGGCCATGTGCCTCCTGGCCCGTGCACACGCGTGTTCACGGCCGGGCCTGGGGACGGGCGAGTAACTGACGAGGGCGATGGAGCTGGGGCTGATCTACGCCGCCCTGCGGTGGATGCTCGTACGGGGACGTGTGTGTATAAATAAATAGTGAACAGAACCCGCCCAGCCTGCCTTTGAACTGAAATGTACGCGACCCCCCTGCGCGGGGCGACGCTGAGACTCCCCCCCCACCCCAGCTGGAACGGACAGTAGTGATCGCCCCGCACTACAGCTAAAAGCCCCAGGTATTGCTAGAGGTGACCCTGCCCCCCTGTAGGGCACGAGGTGCAGCCTGGCACAGGGCTGGGGGTCACGCTTCCTGAGGAAGCACCTCCGAAAGTTTCAGATTTAGCCACACTCCGAAGTTATGCCCAGGAGCCAAGGGTTCTCATCCTGCCTCTCCCGCTGGCT